TGAAGTTCCTAGGAAAGAATTTATACCGGAAATTAACAAACGAGAAGATACGTAAGAAATTGGTATCTGAAGTGGGATGGAAAAGAAAAAAAAAAAGAATAAAGAAGACGGAAACGAGAAGTGGCAAATCAAACTACAGTTTAGCAGCTTTGATGGCAGCAATACAAGAACAGCAAAAGAAACAAGAAGAACAGCAAAATAAACAAGAAGCGAGATTACAGCAGTGGTTGGAGGAGAAAGAAAATAAACAAGAAGAGAGATTACAGCAGTTGTTGGAGGAAAAAAAAATGAGAAAATAAACAAGAAGAGAGACTACAGCAGTGGTTGGAGGAGAAAGAAAATGAACAAGAAGATAGACTACAGCAGTGGTTGGAGGAGAAAGAAAATGAACAAGAAGATAGACTACAGCAGTGGCAAGAAAACCAGCACCAGTGGCAACTGGAAAAAGAAAGGAAACAAGAAGTACAAATGGAAAAGATTAGTCAATTTCAAAGTGAATTAAATACATTAAAGGACGATTTACTATCTTTTATACAGGGAGGATATATTAGCCATGGACCTACTCAGCCCCATATAACAGGAAGTCCCTTCCAGACCTTGCAGCTAAACCCTAATGCAGACATCTTCAGTCCAGCCAGAAGTCACATTCCAGACATGAGTGTCAGCAATAGGGGTGATCTGGTGCGAAGGAAGCCACAGGAATTCGATGGGAAGGCACCATGGGAAGCATATAGAGCACAATTTGAGCTCCTGGGAGAAATGAATGGATGGACAGAGGAGCAGAAAGCAGTGTAGCTTGCAATGAGCCTGAGAGTACAACAACTGGAAATACTTGGACAGTTGTCAGCAGATGACAGGCACAACTATAGAGCACTGGTAGCTGCTCTAGAACTCAGGTATGGAACTTAAAATCAGTCTGAAGTATATGGGGGCTAGGTTTAGAACAAGAGTCCATGCTAAAGGGGAGAGCCTGCAAGAACTGGCACAGGATTTGGAAAGTATGGCACACAAGGCCTACCCAACTGTACCACCCGACGTCCTCAAACTGTTGCTGAGGGATCAGTTTGTAGACGCCTTGGACAGTCCACAACTGAAGATACAAGTAAAGCAAGCACACCCCTCTACTATGCAGGATGCAATGGCCAGAGCTCTTGAATTCAAATCCTATGTTAAGTCCAGTACAGAGGTACCAAGGTACAGTCATCAGGATTCAAGAAAAAATAAACTA